GTCAAATTGATAGATGTACATAGAAGAAGCGAAGTTAGGTAGTTTGTCTTTAACCCTTGAACGCAAAATAGAGGTGGTTTAGAATAGACAGCATAATTCAACAGCAATGAATACTTTTCTTTTATCGCTGTATTCCCTAAGTACTGTGTTAACATCCCTGAAGAACTGAAGTTGTAAGATCATGGCCTTCTTTTTTCAGAACTGTGAGTATTTTGGCCTGGCTGCTGCCTGCCTTGACTTTTGATTCTCACATTCTTATCGATGAATTTCTCTGAATAACCGTTCTCACTCATTTGATGGGGAGGGCTTGCGGGAGTGTTGCAACCAGCTTAAATACTCTTTTAGTCCATCATTTCTATTCAGACAATTTAGGTTCCATTTCACATAGAGTTCTTTGTTATTTTTGAAGTTTTTCTGGATGATGATTTCAACATTGTCGAAATCACTTTCGTGGCCTGATTCTGTAGCGTATAGACGACGAGATATGGCTGATGATTTTTCAAGCTTTTCTAGTTCACTAACTGGATTTCTTGGTGGAGGTCGAATGGATGCGGCTGTACGGTGTTTATTTCTTCTGATTACCTTGATTTCTCCCTGGCGATGTTTGTCCGATGTTTATCGCATCACATTCCGAGCAGGTATTTTATTTTATAGACGGAATTAGACAGAGAATCTTTCAGGATTTGGTTTTTTATATGGACAAGGTTGTTTCGCAGTGTGTTTGATATTTTGAAAAAAACTCTGATGTCGTGCTAACAGCATTAAATAGTAAAACATCAGTAAAAACAATATCGTTTTGTTTTTTATTCATTGGGAAATACAAAATAACCTTTATTATAATGAATATAAGATACCCAATCCCCAAATGTTTTCAAACTGTTAAAAGTGAACTTGGTTTGGACATATGTATCAGATGCTTTGTTAATTAATTCTTAATACTTTGGCTTCATTTGTTTCCAATCGCTTTGGCAAATGCACCATCATCTAAGTAGACAACAACCCTTCCGTGTGACCTATTTATTTGCTTGCACAAACATACTGAAATTGATATATTCAATTAGAATTGTCAAGGACTGGCTACCCGTCGTTCCCAGACTGTCGAATCACCGGCTTTAAGATGTTAACGAATACGGGTTTTGCATAACAGTAAGTTTTACTGATGTCTTTATCAAGCTTTTGGTTAACTACCTCTCTTTTAGATGGCGAATTGACATAAACAGCTTTTTTTAAAACTGTTTCGATAGTTTTAATGGGGCATATTTCTTTGGAATATTTATTGATTAACCTCCCAGGTTATGCTTTCTTAAATGAAATACCCTTCAGAGTTTTATTTCATGTACAGTTTTACTGTCAGAACACATTTTGCGCGCTCTGCTGAACAGTGTTCTAACCAAGGTCTTTTTACAAGGGAGTATATAGTGTCCCATACATGAAGACTTTCTAAATGTAGATCATCCCATTGTAGCATCAGTCCCTCCCACCAGAGAAACATTAGGAATTTAATAGTATCGTTTTTCTTGTGTTCTATTGTGAAGTTAGGATTCGTGTGGCAGCAGTTGAACTTTACCAATATGTTTTCCGCTTTCGACTTGCTTTCAAAGTCTTTCAAATAACCCAGTCAAGATAATAAGGAATATTAATGGTGATAATAGGTAGTCAGCTTATATTTCTCCTATACTCACTTCAAAGGCAGCTTTCGCTGAGTTTTCCACTTTGGATCACTTGATATGTGGCATTGTCATACAGCCTGGTGCTGAATGAGGCTGATAAAGATTTGCCACTACACCTCGTAGTGTTGAAGTAGTTTCTAAATTATTTCCCGGTCAGTGACGCGCTATCGAAGGCCTTTTTGAAGTTGATGAAGTAGAGGTGGAGGTTTGACAGTGCTCGGCCAAGTTAAGCTTTAAGCATCACTAACTGTAAATCAGCGAACGACCTCGAATGGTCCAATGAAGTTCATGCACTTGAGTTCAAGGTTGTAATGCACTTGATTCGTTTCAAATGCGCGCTGTAACGAAGTTACGCTTGCAGTTAGATGAGGATAAGGTTTTGCATTGTTGCCTGGATTTTAGGTTGCTTAGAAAGGAGAGGATTTGTTCATATGGTGGTGTCATGAGTTTAAAAAGCTTAAGCAGTTGTGTAGTTTCTTTGAGACGAGTCATTATTAAGGAAGGTAAGCTGATAATTTTAATATTTCGTAGGAACATTTTTTGCTAGGTCACATCTCATTCTAACCTACTTTTTGTTTATTTGCATTTACTGGGTTTTAAAACAGCCTGTGAGAGGTGCAGCTGCTGAAACCGAAAATAGCCTCGTGTCAACAGTTCAGTGGTACCAGTGTGGTGAGAGCAGGCTGCTAGCCGATTGGTTGGCACTAATCTACGTTAAGGTCTAGGTCACTAATATGGGCCGTGAACAAGGCTGAGTCAACAACCAATCACAGCGAAGTTAACGTGGCAAAATATGATTCGCAGATAGAGAACTCTGTTTGTCAAGGAATCCCGAAACAACCAATCAGAAGCCTGCGTTTGTCTACCTAAACAACCAATCAGGTGACTGCGCTTGTCTATAATAATGTTGTCTGAAATATGTATAAATACGTGTTGATTTTCATAATAAAACGATCTGTTGCCTGGCCCTTGTCTTCTGTTGTTACATTTGGTGTCGCTGCCTACCGACAAATGAAAAGCCTATACCCTGCAGTTTTTGATGGAGACATATGGATCTTCGGGCAGGACTTCAAGGCTTCTGCGCAGTCGAGTGGCGTTCAAGATCTGTCAGCGATGGAGCTGCTACTTGAGACGCTGCTGGGAGGTCGGGCGAAAGCAGCATATGAAGGTGTGGGCCGAAGTATGGACGAATGTTCGACAGGGTCAGGCAAACAGTTTCCAAAGTGGGAAGGACCATATATGGTCACTTCGAGATGGGGTTACGCAGACACAGTCGCAATGGCGAACAATAAGAGGCGCGTGAACGTCAGCGAGCTCCAGAAATGGATACAGCGAGACAAGCCAACGATGACGCCTGCACCAAGTAGATCAAGCCGACTTCAGTCGCACGTATTTGACGGGGGGACGAGTGTGGTGAGAGCAGGCTGCTAGCCGATTGGTTGGCACTAATCTACGTTAAGGTCTAGGTCACTAATATGGGCCGTGAACAAGGCTGAGTCAACAACCAATCACAGCGAAGTTAACGTGGCAAAATATGATTCGCAGATAGAGAACTCTGTTTGTCAAGGAATCCCGAAACAACCAATCAGAAGCCTGCGTTTGTCTACCTAAACAACCAATCAGGTGACTGCGCTTGTCTATAATAATGTTGTCTGAAATATGTATAAATACGTGTTGATTTTCATAATAAAACGATCTGTTGCCTGGCCCTTGTCTTCTGTTGTTACACCAGTACTGCACAGATATCGCATCATGGAAAATGGAGAGAATTACTTCGTTGTTAGGCGGAGAAGGTATCGTTGTATACATGGAAGAAACTGTGTTACTGAAGAAAAAATACATCCGTGGTCGTGAGCGAGCCAACAATGTTTAAGTGATCGGTTTACATGACACCTCTCCGTGGAAGGGATTCGTGGAGAGAATACCGGACAGAAAGTCAATCACTTTAATACTTATTATTGCTAGACTTGTGAAACATGGATCCATAGTACATGTTAATGAATGGAAAGGTTATAACTCTCTGTCATCTCTTGGATATATTCATCACAGAGTGAACCGTTCCAGTGATTTTGTGGATCCCATTACGGGGACATACAAATTCTATAGAAGGATTTTGGGGAAGATTTAAAAATAGGATTAGAGCTATAAATGGATTTCAAAAGGATCTCATTTATAGTCATTTGGATGAATATACGTAAAGAATGTGATATGACTTTTCTATTGACACTCCTATGCCAAACTGGGAAATGTTTCTGTCACATGCTAGAGAAAGATACCCTATGTAACAGTCTTATGCAGCTTTTATGCTTTCTTTTCCATGAATATACGTTTTCCTTTATCAAAAATCCCTCTTGCATATGATTGGTCCATTGAAGGTTGTTCGCTGATTGGTAGTTAGTGGTGATTAAAGTTTAACTTTGCCCGATGTGCTATGTGATGACGATGATGAAGAGCACATGATTTGCATTTTTTTGAATCCAGCTTGTTCTGGAGGGCAGATTTCTGTAAATACTGTATCTTTTATTCTCTCTAGAATGATGCGATATAGTATTTTACTTGACGTGTGAACAAGAGCATTATTCAACTCCAGTTCATCTACATATCTTAGATCTACTTCCGTTTATTTTATACGCCATCTCTTCTTTGTTTTGAATTATTCAAATTCATAAATGAGCGTAATTTTACTTTTGTCTAGTATTATTATATCCAACAATCTTATGACTACAAATCATCACATTCTCCAAGACTGATCATGACCGGACTTTAGTTAGAGAACTACTAAAACCCAGCGTATACTGGACAACTGTTTCGTCTTTAGTTGGGAGTTTTCAGAAGTATTCACCCATCAGGGATTGAACCTAGGATCTTCTGCTTACAAGTGGAACTCATAGAAAATTCAGCAAGCCTTTGAATTCTAACTTCTGTTAGTTCACGATTTATAGTACAACTGCCAGTCAATTTCATCGGCGAATAGTTTTCGTCACAGTCAGCAATGTGCAAACATTGAAACATTTAAATTTGAATATAAAAAATATCGAATGGCATGTCCTGTAACCCTACAAACCACCATTTAATTAAACCTGCCCCTGTCAATTTATGCATATGTTGACGAATTGTCGAATAAAAAATTGAAATTCTCATTGGTTTTCCTAATGACCTTGAATTTCAGGCAGTCTTGCCGATTTGATTGGTTGATTGTTCTTTACTAATAAATCGATTATTAATATTGGTAGGAAGTTATTACAATTACAATTATTCAACACATTCATTAACTTAGCCTGGATTGTTTTCAATTTTACATCAAAATTGAGATTCAGGGGTTTTGTTATAATGACTGAGAAATCTCAGACCACCTTGACTATTCATGAAGAAAAAGAAGATGAATTATTAAATTCACAAATAAAAATACAACAGAATAATGATGTTCCAGTTCTACCCTTTCCTATATTTATTTGGCGGATATTTCTCGTATTTGGGTAAGTTATTTGAATATATACATGCATATATTTTATCTCGTGACTATTGAGAAAATAATTATGCATTTCAAAGTTTTAGCTTTCTACTGTTTCGTTATTTTCAACTGTGACAGATAAAATCTCTATACTACTTTTAAAATTAAGACTTCATTTTGATCAGAGACTACTAGGTAGGCAATTTGTCCTATATTCATAGTCTTCATAAGCTCAATTCACTATGTGAAGTGTAATATGGATGCTAATACATAGTGGTGGTCAGCAGTGATACTTCTCAGACCATAGATGTTTGCGATCTATCTCCTGTGTTAAGTAGTATGCTATGGTGAGCATTATAGAGGTTAGGCATACAGTGAGAGGTAAGGAAGAGATGACTGTCTATAACATTCAGAAGGCGCATCGATCAAGAGGGCTAGAAGACTTGCTACGCATGCCAAGAGACTGCCTCCATCGAAGAGCAATGTCAATACAGATCAATAAGGATGTAAATTGACTACCAGAAGACGCATGAAAAATTCAAATCAGTTCACTTCATGCTAAAGATTCCGCTGTAGATGTTGTCCAGAAGGATGACAAAATCTCCGCAATTAAACCAAACAGCTCAGAGAACACTTCTGACTGCAAATATCACCTAACATAGGGTTAGGCTGTAAAACAGTTTGGTGTGGAATCAATCCATGAAGTCATGTAGGCAGGTGTAGACTACCCGGTTGATGTCCTTAGGATTCTAAGGACCAATGGCTGGAGACTGTTGTTGACATGGCTGAAAATCGTTGTCACTGGCTCAGATGCATTCACTCACTGTAATCTTCCCCATGTTTTTCCATATTACCATTCTTTCTTTCAAACATTTCTCTTCATTATAGTTTGTTCTGTTCTGTTTTTCTCTTCATCTTTCTCTACCTTTGAGTGCTACAGGGACTGTGAGACCTTGAACTGCTGTACTTCTGTACAAAAATCTATACTGGAACTCAGTCAGTCAGTACTGGCATTCTATCTTGAATCAAAAGAAGTTAAAATACAAAATAGTCGAGCAAAGAATATTCTTTTCGATAAATTCCTCTTCAAATTGAGTCTACTATTCATGTAATAATAGCAACAATCGACCAGTGTTGATTTAGAGTCTTTCAACATCTTCAGTTGATGATGGTGTTAGGCCTTCCGTTTAAGTGTAGAGACTTTCGAACTGAATTTGTGCATCCATTTTGTTAATTTTTACATGGCTATCACAAAATTTAGGGCCGAGAGATAAAACCTGCAGATCCATTTCATTAAGCATTACATCCGAAAAATTAAACACAAAATGATTTGGGTTCGGAGGGAATGCTGCTCCAGCCTAATGATAAGACACTCAAACGTCATGCTCGTAATCAAATTGACTCAATTCAATCGTGTATTCCTGAGTTATCGAAGAACGTAACAGAAAGTTTCTATGCTGTCGACGAATTACCAGAAAAGTTTACAGAAACTATTTTTAGATTATGTGGATGTCATTGTGAGTAAAAGGAAAGAAAAGAAATGCATGAGGCTGGTACAGAGTTGGGAGAACAAGGCACCTGAAACAACATTTCCTCCGAACCCAAATCATTTTGTGTTTAATTTTTCGGATGTAATGCTTAATGAAATGGATTTGCAGGTTTTATCTCTCGGCCCTAAATTTTGTGATAGCCATGTAAAAATTAACAAAATGGATGCACAAATTCAGTTCGAAAGTCTCTACACTTAAACGGAAGGCCTAACACCATCATCAACTGAAGATGTTGAAAGACTTAAATCAACACTGGTCGATTGTTGCTATTATTACATGAATAGTAGACTGAATCTGAAGAGGAATTTATCGAAAAGAATATTCTTTGTTCTGTTATTTTATGTTTTATAGAAGTTAAAATGACTAGTTCTTCATTGGATTCAGTGAATGGTAAATATGCTTAGCGAACAACCGGAAAGTTTTTGGCTCAACCCCTGATTTAGACATTGGAGTACACTTCTGAAGTATACTACACTAGGACTAAATATTCATTTGGCGCTTCCATGACTTCACTGATTCACTGAGTAATAGTAACCCCTGGTGTAATCTATACTGCAGTGTTTTGCAGTTTAAAGAAATTGAACAGGCTACCTAGATAACTGACGATGTGTAAAAGAAGGCTAAACTGAAGGAAATAGAAGTTTTCGAGAAGGGCTTAGTGTTGTCTGAGAATTAAGATGGATTTAAATAGAACAATTAAAAAACAATGAGGTGAAATCAAGGCTTCTTTTTCAAACCTTTATACGAGTGATATATATTGTGTATAGTTTACAAATAGTAATAAATAACTTTGGGATCGCCAGTCTCAGGCTTAGTGTCGGTGGCATAGCGGTTAGGACGCTCGCCGACCATGCATATGGTTCGGGGTTCGATCCCCGGCCACAGACGCACTCCTTTACCTCGCTAAGACAGAAATAATGCTGGTAAAGAGGAAAGGTTGGGCATGAGGCTGGCTAGCAACCCCATCCTGTAAAAATAAACACTGCTACAGAAATTTCAAGCCATTAGCTTGAAGCCCTATGTTCCACTGGGGAACGTGAAGGAAAGAAAAAAATATCAGGCTTGATTGCAGAAGCAGTGATGCAAACGCTCGAAAACATAATTCTACCAATGATCAAACTCAAAACTTGGATACGTTATGCAGATGACACATTTGTAATAATCAAAAGAAACGAGTTGGACAAAACTGACAACTTAATAAGCAACGTATTCAACGACATCAATATTACAAGAGAAGATGAATCCGATAATAAAATCCCATTTTTGGACGTTTCAGTCAAGCGGACAACCACAAGAGGATAAGTAGCTCAATTTTATAGAAAATCAACTGACACAGAGACGAAATACTCAATTACAACAGCAACAATCCAATATAACAAACACTATTCAAGAGAGCAAGGACTCATTGCAGAATTCCCACCTTAAGGAAAATTGAAGAAAAATATCTCATGGACGTCTTTCAAAAGAATGGATATCCACGGAACTTCATCGAAAGACATATACCCCCAAGCCAACCTATCAAACCAAAAGCCTCCAAGGAAAGCAAAAAGAAAAATCGCCCTACCATATATAAAGGATGTCTCAGAAATCACAGTAAGCACTCTTCAAACCTTTAGGAATTGACGTTGCACACAAATCAACAAAATCACTTCACTCAGCTTTACCTCAAACAACATACTCAACAACGAAAGAAGATAAAACCGATATCATTTACAAAATAAAATGTAACAACTTCGAAAAGCACTACATTAGCCAAAGTGGACGCCCATCCAATTTGTCTTCGTATGCATAAATATAAACTAGCGGTGAAAAGACATGCCATCCACTCCCTCAAATCGCCTCACTGCATACAGACAACCACGGACCTCACTTCAACTGGGACAACATTCAAATATTAGACAGAGAAAACACCAAGAATGCTAGAGAATATTTAGAAGCCTGGTATTCCAATGAATCGTCAATCAATAGAGAGATTAATACAGACAAAATTTACCAACCGATAAGAAGGGTGAAAGTTCAAGCCAAAGAAACAATCAGTTCCAATACAAGTAGCCTGGAAGGTGCGAAAACACACAAAACAACCAATCACGTTCAGCCTCACACACCAGGGGAGATGACTAATAAACTCGTGGAGAAATCTTTAAGCTCACTTCATCAAATTGAAGTATGCACTGAAGATGCTGTCTAGTAGGGAGCAATGAAAGCTTCGAAAATTAGCTATCCAGCTCAGAGAACACAATCACATCAAAATATTGTCAGTAGCACATGCCACACTGAGAGTTAGTTAGAGATACATTCACCTACACACAAACGTGAAATGATAAGTACTAGTGTGGTGAGAGCAGGCTGCTAGCCGATTGGTTGACACTAATCTACGTTAATGTCTAGGTCACTAATATGGGCCGTGAGAAAATATGAACAAGGCTGTTTCAACAACCAATCACAGCAAACTTAAATGTGGACAAATATGATTCGCAGATAGATGGCTCTACTTTCCGAGAAATATCGAAAACAACCAATCATAAGACTGTGTTTGTCTGCTTAACTTCCGAGAAACAACCAATCACAAGACTGCCTTTTTCTGCTTGCATAAGCCTTATTAATGCACATAAAATATATATAAATACGTGTTGATTTTCGTAATCGCTGAGAAATGTGGTCTGGGACACTCTCGATGAATTGGGAAGACAGTAACTGCGCTTCTGATTCTTCATCTAAAGTGGGAAGCGCGCGTCGAAGTAGATTAGTCAGTTTCACTGCCAACACTAGCGGGTCTCCATCAGGTCCAAGCTTCATTGACCGGAACTGCTGCATTGCTAGCTGTCTGTCTGTTTCGCTGTCAAACTCGGACACTAGTCGTTCAACCAATTTCTTCCAAGACGCTGTGCCATTTGACCTGTCTACGCTGTCATATGCAGCCTTCGCTCGGCCTCTCAACAGCGTCCCCAGGACAACTGCCTTCGCCGCCTGCTCCTTGACACCCACCAGCTCAGCAACGGCCTCGAAGTCACGTAAGAAGCTCCGTATGTCTTCTTCTTCAAACGCAACTGGCCACGGGATCTTCATCTTTTTGGAGGCAGCGACACCAAATGTAACAACAGAAGACAAGGGCTGGCAACAGATCGTTTTATTACGAAAATCAACACGTATTTATGTATATTTTATGTGCATTAATAAGGCTTATCCAAGCAGAAAAAGGCAGTCTTGTGATTGGTTGTTTCTCGGAAGTTAAGCAGACAAACACAGTCTTATGATTGGTTGTTTTCGATATTTCTCGGAAAGTAGAGCCATCTATCTGCGAATCATATTTGTCCACATTTAAGTTTGCTGTGATTGGTTGTTGAAACAGCCTTGTTCATATTTTCTCACGGCCCATATTAGTGACCTAGACATTAACGTAGATTAGTGTCAACCAATCGGCTAGCAGCCTGCTCTCACCACACTAGTTATTCTAAATTTTGTAACAGAGTTGAATGTATTTTCCTAATCAAAATAACCTTCTTAACACACTAGAAGTTATTCATCTTGTCTTCTAGTAAGTGAACGTCACAAAATAAGAAAAAAGAAGTTGTGTAGACTATAGACAGAACAAAATGTCGGAATTAAATATAAAGCTAGTCTGTAAGAAACGATTGTCACTTAGGCATGAGTTCAATTCAATAGGGGAGAAAAGAATTACATGAATACAATTAAGAAAAAAGGATTTAGAACAGCATTGCAACCAGCAGTCATAGTATGCATAAACATCTTCACTGAACTGTAAATCTATAAAATAATGTTTGAAGTGATTCGTATTACTACTCCCTCAGGTTCTGAGTGAAACATAGAGCTTCAGCAGCACATATACACTTCAGTCTGTTCCCTATAGTCTATTTTAACTGCCTTCATAACTGCCTGAATGCTTTTCTTTACTCTTTATGCTATCTCTTCCATGTCATTCTATTACCGAAGCCCAACTCATCATTTATCATCCTGATTCCACTTTAAAGCGTGCCATGTGATATCAGTTGAAGTTCTCCACAGCAATATGCCCAATCCATCTTCGCTTACTTCTGCATATTTTAGGCGAAGTGTTCTTGGTTAGTTTATTTACCTTTTCTAGCTGACCGTCTGATCTTCAATACTGTGCAAAGGCGGCTGTTGTTAATAACCGTCATTTGTAATAGTTTAATTTATTAAAAATTTATTGGGAGTCAAATGATTGACAATTAGTGTTGGGAATCTCTCATAGACTTCTTTTAGAATACATCACTTTAATCCAAATGTCATGTTTGAAGTTCTTCTTGTTTCTTCCTCTGTTCTATGCTTCTTGTTACTTTTGATATCTTATTGAAGCCTTTATCGATAATGGTCTGTGCAGAATTTTTCATCATATACCTGTTTTATGTATTCTCTTATACTCATTCCTTCAAAATACACCCCATTTACAGGATCTCATCCTGTAACCAATCAAATCCCCGCAAAACAACACTTGAATATCAATCAGATGCTCACTGTAGACTGGCCCTATTCAAGTAGGCAGTTACCATGATTTCTAGTGAGAAGTCATGACCAGTGGGGTTGAGCAGGTCGAGTGTGAGGACGGATACCTACCAGCGATGACATTTGCTAGTGGTCTCGCTATATCACGAATTTGCAGAAGTTGGAATTCATAGGCTGGCCACTGAATTGAGTCCAAGTGGCCTAATGGTCTACGAGCTTGCTAGCCTTGAAATGAGAAGGTTGTGGGTTTGAACCCCAGTGCTGTGGGTGCCTACTGCTAAGGAGTCCCCATACCAGGACAAAACAGCCGTCCAATACTCCCAATTGGTTTTCCAATGGTTCTCTAACCGACATCAGCTCATATTGAGATCCTGCGACCAATCGAATACCCGTAAACTAACAATTGATTATTTGATAGTATCGTATCATAATTCATCAAGCTTTCATTACTCTAAAATCTGTGTGGAGGTCAACATCACCCAGCATGAAAATGAGAATAAGATCCGGATTTTCAACTTCAATGTGAAGTCACTGCTGCTCACTATACGGATCAGAGACTTAGCGAGTCATAAAGAGCATCTCAAACAAACTACACACCTTCATTAACATTTGTCTTCACTCAATACTATTCAAGATCAGATGGCCAGCTAGAAAAGATCAGCAACAAAGATCTCTTGGAGCGAATCAACACTTCAGGAACCGATCGCGAAACAAATAGGCAGGAAGAAATGGAGATGGATTGTCCATACACTGAGGAAACCATGAAGTGACATCACTAGACAAGCCATCGCTCGAGTGGAACTCGAAAGGGAAGCGGCGAGTTGGTCGTCAGTGCAAGGGTGACTTGGAGGAGGTCATGTGAAGAGGAGATGAAAGCATGTGGGCAGACTTGGAGCGGGGTGAAAAAGTTGGCAGAAAACCGAAGGCAATGGAGGTGCTCAGCTGAAGCCCTATGTTCCTCTAGGAACTAAAGGATACAATAATAATAATAATAATAATAATCGTATATTAGCAATGGTCAGTTAAAAGAAGGCTGTATGTGATCTGGGTTCCTCTCTTCTTGACATTCATTAGCGGGGCATATCTGCAACTTTGAAGAAAACAATTTACATCACTATATAATTTGGGCTTGTATTCACTAAGTATGAAGATCATGCTATTCAAGCCATAAGTGATGCCTATAAGGCTGATCTATCCGTTAGGTAATAAGCATCTTTTTGTATTTTTTTTTTAAATTAATCTTTTACTTATTCTTCCACTGTTCATTCCTTTTTTTATAAATTCCTCTTTTATTCCCTCCCACTTTATTAAAATAATCCATATCAGAGTACTTCTATGCTCATCGTATACAATAATTGTTCATTTATGTGAAAAGGACGGTAGATTACCGTTTAGTTCAGCAGCAGTTATTCTAATGACTGAGTTAATTAAAGTAAGTATCTTTTTTTAAAAAACTAAAACTTTAACTTTTGAATTTATTTATTTATATACATGCAAAATCAGTAATGACTGAAGGTAAAATGAAAATCTACGTAGCGGCAGGAATCGAACCAGAGGCCTCTGAATTACTACCAGTCTTATTTTTTTATTTTTTATTTATTTTTTTTTTTGGTTACAGCTTGATTCTACACCGTATTTTTGATACAATTGTGGAATTTTCAGCGTGGATATCGGTAGCCCAAAATTCGCAGGCCAACCATAGATATCAGTGTGCGTCGGCGTGGGCTCGAACCCCGGACCATGTGCATGGTCGGCGAGAGTCCTAACCACTGTGTCACCGACGCACAGGTCAGCTGGCTAAGTGACACTGATGTTAGTGAAGCCTTAATTTGCCCAAGTAACATCAATAAATGTTAATTTGTGGAGCTTTTTATTGACCTCAACTTTGATCACGGATTGATATCATATTTAGAGAACGACTGAATCTTTGGAATTACTTGGAAGCAGCTGTTTCGTCTTAGTTTGAAGCTCTTTATTAGTGCATATTCATGAACCCCAGTGGAGGATTGGATGACAGACCTTCAGTTCTATGAGACTAGCTCATTGACTGTTCGGCCATTGACTCCCTGAATCTGAACTTCTGTTAATACCCTAAAACGAACACTTGAAAATTAGCTTGAGGCTCACCATTAGTGCCTGACCACGTGCTGAAGATGCATGCAGTTCTAGATGGGATGTCGTCACCATTGTTATCCATTTCGTCGAGTGTTGTGAGGATTAATACTCACTAGTGATATTAGCTAGCGGTGTACAGGGGGGGGCTCTTAAAACTGCGCACTGCTGAAGACTCACGAATTGGGACGAAACGACAGTTTTCTGGTACTCCTTGGTTTTCAATGTTTCTTTAACTGTTATGCATTCCATGATCAAACCTGAAAACCCCTCTTTTTTAATACACGATGTCTGTACAGCTAGTGTTTCGGTTATGTATTGGTGATACAAACGTAAATGTTTAGAATGGTCAAATCCAACCCTGTAGATAGCCGTAAAAGATAACATGACGTGGAGCTAAATGATAATATGATTTGAAACTAAGCCAAGTGATGTTTAGCTATGTCTTTTCGGGAAAATCGCCTGAAAATTCCTGCTAATTATTTACATGAAATCATGTGCTGATCAAATTGCAACTCTACGCATCGCCATCATCATCTAACAGAGCATAGCATATCGGTCAAACCCCTACCTGAACTTCACTGACCAATTTGAAAAGGCATTCTACGGCACTGACCAAGAAGCAACGTAGAAACTACCTCAAAACTCTGGCGTGCAGTGTCCTAAATTCTTGTCAATCTCATTCAGCAGCAATATGTTAATGATACGTGTCAAGTAATCCACAACAGAATACTCATCGAAGCCTGCCTTTGAAGTGAATACGGGAGTAGTACAAACTGACTGCCTATTATCACGAACGATATTCCTAACTGTGGTGAACTGGATCATGCTCCAGACTGTGCGTGGGAGTGAGAAGTCATAAATACTCTGGACCAATAAGAAGGCTGCAGAGGATCTGGACTTCGCGGAGGATGATTTGTGTCTAACGGCACACAGATTGTAAAACTTGCAGGTGAAAACCAACAAGTTGCAAGAAGAAGTAGGGAAGATACGACTCCAGGAGATGAACACAGAGAAGACGGAGCTGATGAAGATAACCGATCAGCTAACAGCTACAACAACAACCAGCACTAATCACCATCGAAGGGAGAAACTTGAAAGAGGTTACTTCCTTCAATTATCTAGGCAATCAGGATTGCTTCAGTCACAGTTGGAACGGACAAATGTATCAAAGCAGGCCAGAATCGAAAGGGCGAGATACGCCTTTATCACCCTGAAATCTGTTTGGAAGTCTTCTACACTACGATGCATAGTGAACAAGATTAGGATTTCAACACTAATATGAAGTCTGTTAGTTCTTCTATACTGTTTAGAAACTCAGAGTAAGCCTCATGAAAAGTATTTCCAATGGTCACCTGCAGACTTTTATCAACAGCTCCCCACTTCTCTGGTTCCACATTGAAGATCAAATGACCAACCAGCCAGAAAGAATTAGCAACCAAAATCCATTGAAACAAACCAACCAAGAACCTATCGCTCAACAAGTAGGTCGAAGAATATGGTGATGAACTGAGCAGATGCCGAGAAAACTGTCGAATGACATTTCACACACTGCAAGCCATCACTCGAGGGGAAGGTAAATGGGAAACGACGAATAGGTCATCAATGCGAGGGTGAAATGGAGGAGATCGCGTGAGTTGAAGGAGGAAATGAGAGATTATGACCGATCGTTGATCCAGCCAGATGAAGAGGACAACAAAGAACAGAACAAAGTACAAATGTGTTTTTGAAGCCGTATGTTCCACTCGGAACCCAAGAGAACAATAATAATAATAATAATAGATTTCCATCATATCTAGTGTACTGACTACGCACCACTACATGCTGTTGAGGTTGAAAATAAAGCCGTTGGAAACAAAACTTGTCATCGCTCTGGACTTGTCTCCACTCCTCCTTATACATATATTTTTTCAGATGATGTCTTTGTTATTCATGAACTTGTAGGGGACTAATATTAGAGTTCACTAACATTCCAAGTATAAAAGTAATAATCCAAGTCAGTGGAGTGTTAAATCACAATATATTACCAAAAATACAGTGACGAGTTATAGCAACAAAAAGGATTACTTGTATATAACGTCTAAGTCCTCGGCTACAAATTAATTATATAATCCACAGGCACGTTAATTGTTTGGACAGCGTCTGCTGTAGCTGCTGTGTTCCGGTTGTAGAAATGTCTTCGGTTGAGAGTAGTAGGCTCCTACAATAAATCTGAAGTATACAACACGGTGTGAGTGGAGCAAGTAAGCAGAAGTGACCAGGGAGAAGACGAAGTCTCCAACAGCAGAGTGTATTTTTCAATTGTACCGGAAGTTATGTATATTTCAACAAGAAGCGTTTTAAACAAAAATTATGTACAATATCTCGAATTTATACAAGTAACCAAAAAGTGTACAATCACATTGTTACGTACTCAACAAACTCATATCATACTTCTGAAATCAAATTGTGTGTAGACAGATGAATCTCTTATGATGAATGAAATTTCATACACAGAAGAATGGCTGCTAAAAATTGATTACCTAAAATTGTGAATCTTCAGCATATCCCATTACTCCTCACATGATACTGCTGAACTGCGATTTTTTTAAAAACATTCTAAATGTCTAATGTCAAATGGGACAAATATATAAGTGTAGCTAAGAGAATAGTAAAGTTTAGTGAGGCTGTTCATAATTTCGAAGGTGATAAGAGGTAAATAAGATACATTTACTCTATAACGAACGCTTTTGAGCCATCTTATCAATAGTCTCTAACCTTTTAGTCTTTTTTACATCATATACTGTATCTTACATTTCTAATGTACGACAGAATGAAACCGCTGCTACACACGTATCCTTTTTTAAGACTAGCAGGAGAGCGTAATGTCTTTACGGAGGATGACACAATATGATAAGTGTAAAACGAGCCTTTCTCACCTTTGATCAGATTTCACCGAGAATCGCGTTGTTCGTCAGTAGTGGTGCAACGGTAGAGGATAAGAAACGTGGTAAAGGAATGTTTAGCTGGAATTCGGTATCGCTATATGGCAAATTATGTACACCTTAACTGCAAATCATCATTTGCACAGATCTTCCATGTTGTGCTACTTCTGTCCTTTCTTCGTATTGTGTTTTTTTGTTTTCTTCTTAATGTCTGCCACACTGTTGAATCATCCATGTTATTTGACTTATTTTTATATACTACTGATAAATCTTGTCAGTAGCACGCGTCACAGTAGTACATGCGAAATATTATCCCATAAGCTATCTACCTTTATGACTTCAAAAAAAAGCAGGAGAACGAATTTCCGGTAAGGTCGAACTTGTTTATCATGCCGAAATGGATAACACGTGAAAAATGAGGTTGCGTCAGTAAATCAGTTATTTCTCTATAGTTGGAGATTAAGTTATCACGGAAAATGAGAACTTACAACCGGTTGTTGCTGATTATACGTGTTAGGCTTTATTTAGATGTTGGATTCTGATGACCATCTCAGAGACTATTATAAATGACTCTAAAGCACCGATGTTTTGTATCCACTCTGCGATGAATAGAAGACGCGTGGAGCTGTTCAGACTTGACTGATTTGTTTAAATAAAGGTTCTTCTGATGAATATTTTCGTGAGTTACGCTTTCTGTTCTCTTGATGTTACAACCTATGTAACTGAAAATAAATGAAGAAATAAAAAGGACTCATGGTTATTCGTCTCTAGTGGTTCTTCTTACTTTTTCCAAACCAGAAGATGATTTTTCAACAGAAGTGTTAATCGGCCAATCACTCAATGAATGTCCACTTTTTATTTACTAAGGAAATATACACACATATCGACGGTGTGGCAATGGATTCACCAATACGACCAACTCTAGCCTACATTTTCCGTGTGAAAGGAGGGAATGGGCGATTGAAAGATGTGGTTGATGATCTAGTATTCTACTGTCCTTACACGCATGTGACACTTTTTTGATTATGAAAAATGACGATTGAGCAAAGAACAGCCTTGTTGACAAGGTTGTTAACGATGTTCATCCTACAACAAATTCCACCTTCGAGAAAGAAAGAAACTGTAGTATTACTTCATTCCTAGACATTCCCCTGACTAGAAAAAGGACGGTACAACAACAACAAGAAGAAGAAGTGTATATAGAAAACAAACATCAACCGGCTGTCAGTATACTCATTTCTGCAGCTTCCTAACTTTGAAATACAGGCGCAGTCTAATCAAGTGCTTGGTCCGATACAGAACAAGAGCAACCTGCTGTGATCAGTGAATGTCTTAATGGAGGAAGAGCTCAATATTAATAAACAGTCGCTGAGTGAGAACAGTTACCCATAAAGAT